AAGAGCGCATTGGATTGGATTGTGGGAAAATCAATGTTTATCAACACAAATGTGGCACATGCGGCAGCGCAACGACTACCGCGCTTTAATAACTTGTTTTAAGGTGTTATAATAAAGTAATACATGTGATATAATGAATAAATTGTTATTGTTACATACAGACTATGATCATAACTGGACTAAGTAAAGTGAATTTTAAGGCTTCTTTTGCATTTTCCACAAATGGGTGACCAGGTTGGGACTGCGAACTGACGTCAAGACCAAATCCAGCACTTGCAATGCTGTCCATACCAAATGCGCCATACAAACTGGAATAAATTAAATTATATTACATATAAATTAAAGATTACATTATATTTCTAATCGGGCGAGCAACATGTATCTCGTGCAATAGTTTCGTGCGATACGTAGGGTCTACAGGGGCGGATAGATTTTTTTTTATGGGGGGTCCAAACTTTAACATCGCCAGACTAAGTTAATGATTTTTTTATATTATACAAAAACATATTGAATACATTTTTCAACGGGGTCTCCGGACCCCAAGAACCCCACTCCCCTCTAGATCCGCCACTGGTGTATATGAGTAAGCTCCCAGCATATCGACTAAAAGGCATTATTACATTACGGCCTTAATATAGACGTCTGTTCCCTATGGAAGGCCAAGTGTTGCAATATTCATTAAAAATATTTATGTGCGAGAATTTAAATTTATATTTATGAATTACATATTTGTATTCATAAAACCTTTATTTATATTCTTGAAATCTCTATTTGTATTCTTGAAATCTCTATTTGTATTCTTGAAATCTCTATTTGTATTCGTGAAATCTCTATTTGTATTCGTAAAATCTCTATTTGTATTCGTGAAATCTCTATTTGTATTCGTTATTCCATTTTCTATTTCTACTGGAAATTTTTATTTGTGTTCATAAAACCTACATTTGTATTCGTAATATAAATAAAGGTTTTACAAATATAAATATGTAATTCAAAAATATGAATACAAAGTTTTGCACATAAATATTTTTAATGAATATTGCAACACTTGGCCTTCCATAGTTCCCCCGATACAATGGAATTCAATTTGCACACTGTATGTCCGAGTTCTCTACACGCTTCAAGTTCTTTTTAGATGGCAAGAAAGTATGGCGTAAGCCCGCATGCGCGTCTGCGTCTGCAATGGAGGTGCGCATTTGACGTGGTCGTGAGCTAGAATCTCACATTGTGTGTTTATGTTCGTAATGTGCTTGTCATTTATATTTGGTCAATAATATATATATCCACACTAGGACAGCACTTACTCTTTACACTTCACCGTCTTTTCTTCTTTACAATGTGTTTCCATGTTCTCCACCAAGTCATTGGCACATTGGTTGATGAGGGGAGCCATCTACAAAATAAAAAAAAAGAAAAACTAAAACAAAGTTTAACCTTTTTTTTTTTTGTATTCTCATTTTGTAATGGTGAAAATCCAAATTTTCGAAATCTCACCAATAACATATTCTCCAGAATGAAGCAACGAGAATTGTTAATTCTCACCATTGAATAGTGAGAATATAAAACTTCACAAATATTAGAATAACGAAAAAGCGTCAGTTTGTCACTCTACATGCGCAATTTGTAACAATGATCATCCGTCATATTATGAATATATTTATTATACAAAACGTGTCTATTATTTCCTGCATTGTCTAGTACATCATTTATTTATAGCAACCCGTACTAATTTCATCTTGGCGGCAGTGAATGAAGGTGTCAAAGTGTTCCGTACTTCCTTCCATTGATCGCCTCGCAATACTGTGAGATTCGAATCCATGGGTTTTCCTCTCAGCGGAACTGGCTGCAATTTGAAATATTAATGTTAATAATAATTTAAACCCGTGTGAGTGCAAGCGAGTGAATGTTTTAATGATTCATGTGTACCATATTAAAGGCAAATCCGCTCAACTTTCCTAGTTATATTGATAATTCGAGAATAACATAATCAGCAATGTACATCATTTTATACTAACAATGGTTTGTAGAAGGTAGTCTACACACAAACACACAAGTTTTTAACTCGTGTGCATACTGTATATAGCGCATGGTACGGTGGCCAACAAGTGACAACATATATTTAATTTATCGCGGCAAAACTCTATTATTTCACAGCAAAACATTAGTACTTCACGGCAAAACTCCACAATTTGACGGCAAAACTCAAATATTTCACGACAAAACTTTATTACTTCAAGGCAAAACTCTATTATTTCACGGTAAAAATATATTATTTCACGGCAAAACACTATTACTTCACGGCAAAACTATATTATATCACGGCAAAACTATATTATTTCACGGCAAAACTATATTATTTCACGGCAAAACACTATAATTACTTTACGGCAAAACTCCACAATTTGACGGCAAATCTTTGATTAGTTGCGGCAAAGCTCTGTTACTTCGCAACAAAACTATCACTTGTCGTGAAACAAGACATATATACGGTAGTTTATTTCAACAATCTCTACCATTGCATTTTGATACTATTAAAAGAACTTACCCTTCTGTTGACGAATGACGAGAAGTGTTTTACAGTTATTTGTTTACATATCTCAGGATCAGCAAAATTGATTACAGGTCTACGGCCTTCATATGTACTGTGGTGGGGATAATTGGAAAACAAATACAATTGTAGTGTTATTGAACAAAGACAATAGAAAGAGTTAATATCGAGTTATGTTTTAGATCCGCAAGTTTAATTGCAAGTAATTCTAAGCCATTGATATGGTATTATTTAAATATAACACAGTGCAGTATATGTTAGAGTACATTATTTTATTATTATTATTATTATTATCCTTGGTGCTCATCCACTTTCTTTTTTTCTGTACAGTATTTTATTTGTTTCTTGTGCTGTATATGTATTTATAATGGAAAATAAAACAGGTAACTTATAAAAAGTAATCAACCAAGATACACACAGCTGAGCACAGAGCATACGTATAAATAATATGCACACATAAACGTCAATGTCAAACGAGTTGACTCCGCGTGATTTTGGTTATCCTAAAAGAAATTATTATTATGTTTGGGGTTTGTTGGCTATTCTAAACTTGACTTACCCAAATACTTTGCCATATTTTTGTATCCATTCTTGCTCTTTGGTATGCATGCCCTGTAATAACATATACAGCTGTTTCAATAGTCTAAAAAGGGGGTACAGTGGCATATTAAATATTTTCGAACCCTTTAAAAATAAATTAAACGAATGCCAATGATCCAGAAATTTGCAACATAAACCCAAATTACAAGGTGTCTCTAACATTTTGTTTACGAATTTAGTCAGTGAAATGGGTAAATAATGTATTTATTTTTCATTATCATTATACATTTTAAGTGACTAATTTTGCTTCAGAACATAATTCACATATCCTTTCCTCCTCTATTTTAAAACGGGGGAGTCGTCACCTGCGCATGCGTCAGATGGTCATAGCGTGTCAATGTTTACAGACAAGACCTATGACCTTACAGACCTATGCGCCTTTGCGTTCTTAGCGTCATTGTTTACAAACAAGCGACTACCCATGAGCAGTTGCGTTTTTAGTGTGTGTTGTTATCGTCACTTGTTGGGACTCAATTGCCGCGCTTGCGTGATGATCACTCAGTCGAAACTTACTATGACTTTCTCGAATATAAGCTTGAAATTGTTATTGTCATTATTTATTATCATCATTATATTAGGAACACATATGAACGAAAACATACATAAAACGGTCAAACAAAAAAACGTAACATAACTTGAAAACAAGTGGATTCAATTCTTCGTCTTACGCCGGGGTCTTGCGTCATCATTCCAATACATAAGTCGCACCCTCCGGTGACGAATCGCTTCTATGACGTCGAAATGATTTATAGATGTTTGTAAGTAATTGTTTAAAGCGGGAGGGTAGTCATCTGCGCACGCGCGGAAATTGAGTCCCAAGTGACGATAACAACACACGCTAAAAACGCAAAGGCTCATGGGTAGATGCTTGTTTGTAAACAATGACACGCTATGGCCATCTGACGCATGCGCATGTGACTTCTCCCCCGCTTTCAATACTGACAACTGTGCAGTCACTCGTCATTTATACATATCAGTTTATAGTATTTTAATCATTGTCACAGAAATGAGTCACCGCTAGAGGGCGCTATACATACTAAATCGACAGAGCTTTCAAAGAGAGCCTTCGAGTCGCGCGATATTTCAGTGTGGTACAACCACACACACACACAAACATTGTTTTGTCATCCAATATTATAATAACATTAATGACTTTATTGAAATCATGCCCTGTTTAGGATTTAGATTTTTAAAATACAATAAAGTTTCAGAGACATTCAGATTGGCAATACAGTGATACTAGTGTATCAGTATCATGTTAATAGTACGTTATATCCTAAGTTATTACATTTTCACCTTCTAATGACGGTGATTAAAACGTCTTGTTATTTTGAATAATCACTAAACGCTAGGAATACCAACGACATATTGGCTAGAAACGAGGCAGATTATTCTGATGGTTATAAACAAAATGAAAGCATAATAAAACAAAAAGAAAAAAAAGAGAACAAGGTCTGATTAGAAAAACAAAACACAAAAGGTATCTTAATGAGATATATCAATTATATTCTACTACTATATTCTATATAACTATATACTATATACTACTAAAACAATAATTTGCCTAATTGTTGTATACTTAAAAAAATCCAAAGCATACTATGAGGCGGGGGGCAAGGGTTATTTTCGTTCAATTGCAATATTTTTTTGTTCGTACAACGTAAATTGAAAACGTAATTCTGTAATCACAGGCTAGAAGTACAACGTAATCAATCAAATTTTTTTTTTCGTACACTGTAAAAATGTGTCATTTTTCTCGGTACGTACAAGAATTTACATCCAAATAAAAGAAGTAAAGAATAATCCAGGGAAATTACGTTTTCGAAACTGTAAAACGACTAGATGACACAATTCACTGCAAATTAAATTTTCACTGTAAACTATAAAAACGTCTTTTTTTCCCTTGTAAATTGTAAAAAGCCCTGTTTATTTCTGGTAAAATTGTACCAGCTACCCCCTTGCCCCCCTCTACTATTACTAGTGACGACATGTTAACAAGTAGCGGAACTAGGAAGAGCACCCCCCACTAAAACCGTCGTTACTCATATTGCATATCCCACAATACATTGCGGCAATGACGTCATTATTTTGGTTCACCCTACCCAAAATCCTGTATCTGCCTTGTCTAATATAACGTATGTGTGAACGTTTTCATGTTTGTGTTTCTATGTCCCTTTTGGTGATATATCAACAGACTTGACCATGAACCCCGGTCATAAAACATCGACTCTAACAAATTACCTTTCTGATTTGCAGCATGTTGCCGAACAATGGCGTTGGTGGCGGTCCAGGGATACCCATTTTCTTGAAAGTGGAAAAAGTCCATGTCGAATACCTGTAGAAAGTAAAACAGACTGAAAAAAGGTCAAACACTTAATAAAAAAGGCAATGTGTAGTAGTAGAAGATAGATAGATAGTATGTTATAGCACTGTGTCCATCGTCCGATTCATACGGTTTCACTGAAGACGATCATGGCCGTCGCTTTGAACGTTGGAGAATACGGTCGAATAAATTGACCTTGGCTAGCAGAGATGCATCCTGTCGTATAAATACTATTCGGCATTGAAAAGGGTGGGCTTAAACCCGGGGCTTAAACACATATATCAAATAGGCATGTAATGTCATGGTAACACCAACAAGGAGTGCAATAATCAAGAAGCAATAGTTTCTGTCGTTAAATAGCTCAAATAAATGATCACAATTCCGAATACCCCCCCTCCTTCTACGGGGCACGTGTGTCAATATACCGGCAACATGTCACAGTTTTGGTTATGTGGATACGTATCTCCGAGGCTATATAGACTGTGGTCCGTATAGGGTGGAAATATACTTACAGATAACACAGTACTAAGACGATGCCAACTAAAATGAAAGTGATTGGCGATAGCCCCAAGAATATACAAGACCCATCCATTCCGTCTTGTTCCCTTACAGTCGACTATTTGCCTGATCTAATCCTTTCATGTACTTAGCTAGAATGTACACACTCAAACATAATACTTGCTGCGCATGTGCAATATGATATTATTTATACGACTTTGTTGTTTACCTCATCAATCAAAACAAAGAAGACGGATTGGTGTTTGTTTAGCAGTCAACATTGACGTGGACAAATTACACTCGATGTATTTTAAACGGACTTTGTACCCACTATTCACATAGATTCAAACATATTGTATTGGTTGGAATACAGCGCATCATTAAAAAGGTCAAAGCGAGGTCACTGTACTGTGACAAGTCACTCCTTACACCAAGCGCGTTAGTAGTAAAGTATACACACGCGACACTCGTGCTTTTGTCGTGGTATAGCATTAAACACGAAGCCAATGCAAAGAAAGATGTGAGCAAAGATGATTTCAAGGCCAACAAATCAGAAAGCCGTTATAAGTAAATAACCTAATCGTGGTTCGCCGAGCTGCAGTTCTGCAGCTCCTGATTTCGGATCTCTGGAAACAGGGAGACAGTGGCGAGACCTATCCGGACACCAGAACGTTTTAATACACAAATAGTTTTCAGGACATGGAGCAAAAGACTGTTTCTTTCGGCATTATGTTTGTTGTTGTCAACTGTTGCTTAAAAATCGGCCAGAAGTCTTAACTTGTCCTTTGTGCTACCATTCTCTTTATTTCAATATTCTTAACCGGGTGCGATCTTTTTCGAATGTAATCGTTGTTGCAAGTTTTGATATAAAAGGCCACGAACCAAATTTGCATATTTAATCAAAGATAGTGGCGGTACCCCTTCCCAGGCGTGACTTATTTAGACCAGCCTAAATGTTTAGGTTAGTGTTCACACATGAAATTTAGCCAAGGATGACATTTGCGGTAAGCCTAAGGGATTGGTCAGTTACTTCGGCCTAGGGGGGATCGGTGGATCAGTAGGGGGGGGGGGTTACCCTGTTTTTGATTTTTCGAATAGGGGGGTCACCCTATTTTTGATATCATGTTTTCCAGAATTCACACACGCGCTCATGCATATATTTTAAAAAAAAA